CTCAAAATGTCCAATTACAACAGGACATTTTGAGTTAAGAAACAGCGTCAAACCACAAATTAAAATAAAAAAATTAAATAAAAAAAAACAACTGTGACTTTGTGCTTTGTTTCATTTGCTGTAAATTTACAAAGAATGTAATAGTAGATTAGAATAGTGTGTCTCAATATTATGTATCATAGCATCATTTCCCAGTTTGAAGTGGATGTCATACTGTCTTTCTGTATGTGTGTACAAACCGGTAGTGAAAAAACACAGAAGATAAATAAAGTATAACCGGTGTTTGATGTTAGCTGGTTACATTTGTTTAGATCTTCTACTTTCCGTGTTCCAGATCGCTTTGCCCAGATAGCTTCTTGTATTTGAAGATATTTACAAGTATTTCTAGTAGGGGTGGGCGATACATTGAATTTTTAGGTTATTTACATATATTGTGATACAGCAAAAAAGAAATGTTCTTATTTGAGAGTTTCCTCACATTGCCCAGCCCTAATTTTTTGCACCCAATACAACAGGCAATATGGTATAGTATAAAGAAACATTTGTGCTGATGTGTGGCCTGGAAGCCCCAATGGGTGACACCAGCTAAGGTGATCAGGAATGACCGAATTAAGATCACGTGGGAGGTGGGTCATGTGGATGGCTTCAGTTGTCACAGCTGTACGACATCCAGCTGTTAACCTGAGTGAATCATGATGAGCCCATAAGAAACAGCAGTCAGCTGCTTTGAAGTCTGTGTTGCAACATCCAGCGTGTGGCTGTTTTACACACAATGTGTGTGACCTCCGTCACGCAAACATGAATGACAAAGCAATACTGAAAGTAGTAAGAAGTGTGGGAAAATGAAACTGAATGTGTTTCAGTGAGGGAGTTTTCTATATGACGCTATCAGTCTCTCACATCATTGCGAAGGAATTTTGACCCACTCTTCTACATCACACAGTGTTGCTTTGGATCATCAAGTTATCCTAAGTTTCTCTTGTGCACAGCTCTCTCACGGTTCTGCCACAGCATTTAAATTAAATCGAATCTGGACTTCATGGCTGGACAATTCAAACATTCAATTGTTTTTCAGCCATTCTGTTGTAGATCTGCTGCTGTGCAAATACACAGAGAAAGAGAACAATGGTTTTCTCCTGGTAACCATTGAAAAAAATAATTGTTCAGCCCTTTTCTAATTCAACTGTCATTAATATTTAACATGCTAAGGCCTGTGGAGTTTGAAGTGTAGTTATTGGGAGATTTGCAGTTTTTCTGAGCATTGCACTATCTGGCTTTGGGATGAATTTTCTCCTGGGAGGTGTAACAGTCTGTTAACACACACCTGAGTGCTCTATGCTGATGCTCAGCTCTTGATCAGTATATCAGTCCTGGGGTAAAAAGAATATTTGTTTCCTCTTTAATTATTAGTCTCTTCTAAGGAAAAATTACAAAAGTGAAACAGAGAAAATAAACAGAGCTCACATACATTTGAAAGAACAAGGGAAGCTTGGTATCCTTGCAGCTCATTTAACCTTTATTTAGTGAATGTATTACGCTTCAATAAAGTACAGCCTAGTAACAGTGCAATATTCTTTGAACAGGTTTACCAATAATACGGGTTTTTTCCTCTTTTTCTCTTTTACCTTAAACAATAACACATTCGTCAACATGCTTTTTACACCAATTTCACACTTATTTTATTTAGAGATCCATTAAAATATCTTTCAAAGAAGTCTTTCCTCTCAGCCCTCAAACATCAATTTCATACAGTCATGTTTCTCCAGAGCAGACAGTGCAGATGAGACTTTATTTCCACATTAGGCTGAGTAATATGAGACTGGAACTGTGGTTAATCAGGATGCAAGTCCAAGTCCTTAATCCTACACAACCCTGTGATCTAAATTTAAAATTTGTGGTATAGCATGACTCCTGTGGATGTCAAATGATGCAGATCAGGAGTAATAGCTCTAAACCAGCTTCCTCATTGCGGTGCACAACGTATGTTGTACGTTCTGACATGCAGAAGTCAAAGTTAACTTCTGGTTGCTCTGTTCTGATACTGACGGAGTATAAATTCACATGGTCATCTCCTGTACTTCAGTATTTATATTTATGAGGGCTCTAAACCCAAATTATTATAATGATTATTATTATTAGAGTCGTAGTAGTACTGCATCCAAGATTTCATCACGTGTGGTCACTCGTAATTTTTGCCTAAATCTGCATGACCTAGCTTGAGTAATAAACTCTTGTCACAGGATCCAGCTGAAGGAAAAATGGTGAGCATACACATGACATAAGCCATGGAGCACTGCCACGAACATTCATAACATGCGGACATCATGGTTCAGGAATCTGGACACACTCTTATTGACTTGTGTAGAAGCTCTGTGTGTTTCTCTTGTTTTCCATGAATCCTCTGTGACTGAGAGCCAAACGATTATGAAACATAACCAGCTTCTCTGGAAAACAGCATTTTTGTCACACACAAGAAGGAGCAAATAAATTCAGTTACAACAAATGAAAGAAAACTTTTGTTATTGTAAGTCAGGAGACTGAGACTTGACTCATGCATCAACATTTTCCCAGTTCTTAAATGAGTCTACACACAGGCATATTTTACAACAAGGAGACGTGAAACCGATGATGTAATCTGTAGATGGTTTATTGCAGCAGACTCAGCTGCTGGAGTTACTGTGGTTTGGTCCTGAACCTCTGACTTCATGTCAAAGTTTTCACAGTTGCAGAGAAGCTGTATCTTCTCTCCAGAGCACACCTCCACCTCACCTGCTCCCTCCTCTCACTACATATCACAGTGTCATCAACAAACATCACAGTTCACAGAGACTCCTGCTGACCTCATCTGTCAGGCAGTCCATCACTACTGCTTCATCAGTTTATGTGGAAATAAAGACACAAAACATCATAGAAGAAAAAGAAGTGATTTAATACTTTAGTAATTACACTGAAGAGATGAAAAAGTTTTCAACAAACAGAGATTTGATGTCTAAAATATTCATTTCTTCGATTAATCAACATGTGAGCTGAACTCACAACTAACATCTTTTGTAAAAAAAGGAGAAAACATTCATGTCAGAGTTTAGATTTGCATTTGAGTGGTTCAAAACAATAACAACAACAAAAAACTTAATGCACATTATTTAAAGCTTAAGTGTTGTGTAGAAACCTCATAAATACAACCAATGTGCTTTTCACAAATGTAAAGTTTAGTGGACATGTTCAGATGTCCACTTTTCTTTTTTTCTATTTGTAATATTCTCATTTCAAAGACATTCAAAGCCATTTGGAGACATGCAGAGGTCCTTAAAGCGGAACCTAATATAGTCAACACTGGTTATTTAACTGAGGTAATCACTCTTTCCCCCACAGTCCTATGATTTTTCCCCTTTTCTGTAAAGCAATGTAAATACATTTTTAATACTTTGAGTCAAGTTTTAATATTCATATAGGAATAAACTACAAAAGAAACACAGTCACAAATATAGGCCATTGTTAAATGTTCAATATTGAGGAAGGGTACAAGAGGTAAATCGAAGAATAACCACACTGATCCGGCCGGGTGAAGTCAAACAATGATTTAATGCACGCGTGGGAAGATCACTGCGTACGCAGACAGCAATTGATGATCTTCGACTTAATCAAAGCATAAACATATATTTTATACCATCAGGGCTTAAATTTAATGACGCCCCCTCAACGTCAGATCCATTTCATACATAGGTCAGATCAAAACCACAATAACTTTTAACACAGTTTAAAAAGAACATTGTCTTCGTCTTCCCAGCAGGTACTTCCTGTCACTGCCGGATGCTCTCTTATCATCTTGACACATCAGCAGCAGTTCTGCTGTATATATACAGACACCATATTTACATACATATTTAGCATCAACATAATGTTCAAAAGGAGTCTGATTCTTCAAGTGATAAACATTTGGCTTGGATGTCCAGGAACTCTCGGCCAGAGCTTTTCAGCTGCCGGCTACACACACACACACACACACAACCTCAGGTCCCGACACGTCATATGCAGTGGAGGTGTGATAAGCTCATTGAGCTCCGCTGTGTCAGCCTCACCTGCAGCCGTGCACAAATCAAAGTGAAGTAAGAAAAACCGGAACAAACGCACACTAATCATGAAGCTACAGAGCCCCTTTACTCACATGGGTAAGGAATATTTTCATTGCATGTCCACATGTTGATGTGGCAACAAGACATATACAGCAGGTTACCCCACAGTCAGACACCTGCCATCTACCAGCTAACTGTGTGAAGAGGAAAAATTGCTATAAATGTCTGTTTTTTTGTTGACACGCCTCCTCAGTGTATGGTAGAAGCAACTTAATCCAGTGCTAAGCACAGTGAGACTGATTACGTGGACATTCGTAGAAACCTTCTTGTCTGGGAGGAGGGATGGCAGACTCAGTCACTGCTGACAATAATTTTAACCTGTTACATTCTTTAGAAAAGATGATCCAGTGAAAGAGCCTTTGAAAAAGGATCTCTTCACATGTAAACAACAATTATTTATTACAGATTTGATAATTAAAGCCTCTCATTTTCCACCTCGTTTACCCTTTAATTTACGACTGATATGTTGAAATGTTTTGACACACAGTGAAATGATTTAATGCACAGCAGAAAGTGCATATTCAAATTCATCTCCACATTAAGATGAGTAATGCCTTGAGACATTATATCTGTGGCAAAAACAGACAAAAGGTCAGAGTCCTAGAAAACACAGCCAAGTGATCTCAAATAAAACATTCTACATGACTCGGTCTCTTTCCAGTCGTCCTGTGGATATCAAGTGCACATCAGGAGTAAAAGTTCTCGGCCAGCTTCCTCATTCTTTTATTGCAGTGTGCTGATGGGGCGGGCGGATGATGAGCTGCCACGTTTGTTGCAGGTGCAAACATACAAAGTCCCACTTCACCTTCAGGTTGCTGCTCTGTGCTGGCCCCTTTAAGCTCATCTTTGTCAGGGTTTGGATGGAAGACTTTATAATAAATAATTTTAAGTATTAGACCGAGGACGTAAACTGCAACAACACAGGCAGCTGTGATTAAAGCGTGCATGGGCTCTATCACAAAATCAGGAGGATCTGTGCTCATCTTCCAGCACCACACAGCACAGAGGATGCAAATATCAGTCAGTATATACCCGTGATAGAGCGCAGTCCTGTACCGCGTCTTCCCCTTGGCCACATTAAACCAGTCGAAATACCAAATGATGCCAACAGTGGCTCGATAAAGCCATTCTCCACAAGGACTTTCCATGAAGTCCGTCTTGGATCGCCAAGCAAAGAAGAATAAAACCAACCAAGAGCAGATGAAGTGGGCAAAGATGAAGCAGGGCAGCACGGAGGCGAAAAGAGCGAGAGCAGTGAGACGGGAAGAGATGAGAACCAGGTTCCAGATGAAGTAGATGACTGATGAGGTTATCTTCTGGTTTTCTTTGGCAGGCAGGAAGGAGCGCAGCGAGCGATGGTAGGTCGTCACAGTGCAGGCGATAGCCGAGGCCGAGCCGACGGCTTTCAGAACTGAGGGAGAACGAGAGGCAGCGTCAGAACAAGCAAAGAGAAATGTTGTGAAGTGTGCCACTCCACATAAAGACAAGCAAACTGGTCCCAGAATCAGCAGACTTTTAATGTATCATAACGTATAATGTATATTTAGAGAAATTTTAGGTTCAGGTTGTGCAAAAGTGCAAAAGTCTAGCATAGGCCTCAGTTCTCAACAGAGTCACATATGAAAATTTTAGGTCTGAAAAAACACATTTGAAAATGTTGGCTTCAAAATGCAGATAAAAATCAGACCTTTGATATGGTAGAACTGTTTGGATCAGGCCCCATCACTCACATAAAAATAACCTAAAAAGCACTTTGTTAAGTTTTCCCAACTGAATGATCGGGAAGAAGAACAAGGATCCCATGCATCCCAAGCATCACCGATATTAAACTGGTCCAGGTTTGTGATTGAAACACTGGTTTATGCCATTAGATTAGTGGTTATTTAAAAAAATCTGCTTTCAATTTGTAACATTTGAAGTGGGTGTAAAATTGATTTGAGCTCAAACATGTTTTTCAGCGCTGAATAATTCACGTGGATATCGCCTGTATTTAAGAGTTATCGAAGATCAACAACATCACATTTAAAACCACTCCCATGTACTTCACCAGCCTGTAACTCACAAAGCATTTGTAGTGTGAAGGTAAAGTTTTCCATGATTTCAACAAATATATCAGAGTTCTTATACAAGGAAATCAGCTGATTCTGTGAGGGTCATGTGGAAGGCAATGACCTGTCTTGGGTTCCTCTTCAAGCATTGTTCCTTTTAATGGTTAGGGATTTTCCTGCACAAGACATTTTTAGATATGCATGTGATCGGTAGCTGGAGTTACAAAGGACACAAATTACATTACTTTTTTTAAAAAGTTTTTTTTTTAAACTGTGGCACAGAAGAACATGTGTCTGTATTTGTTTGGATTTGGCTAATCGTTCTAGGCCAAATAGATGTTTTTGGTCTCTCACTCTTATCAGATTTTTGTGCATGTGGCAGAAATTAATCAGGAATAATACTTTAAACAAAAACATGGCTTTGTTTTTGAATCTTTTAGCCGAGCGCCGGAAAATGTTTCAGCGCGTGGTGACCCTGTTGTGTAACTTTATGTGGTCTGCCACTTCCTGTCCAGGTTGCTGAGGTTCCTAAACACTGAGGTTGGAGTAATTTCACTTACAGATGATAAAGGAATATCTGGGAGGGGAGACATTTCACAAACTGAATGGTTACTGAACTATGGCTTGATATTACAGCACCACACTTGAATTGAGTGAGCTCTTTAGAACAAAGCATTCTTTTAAAAATGTTTTTGACAGCGTGGCTAGCTACCTTAATTATTTTGTACACGGTGGCACTGAGATCAAAGATCTGTGGCTGAATACTTTTGTATTGTGCATATTGTATTTGTACTGTGTACAAAAAGTGCATACTCTATGTCTAAGAAAGTACACTGCTAGCATAAAAATACTTTCAGCTTAGTTGAAGTGAATATGGGTGAGCTGATCTTTAATAATCTGAAGACTTTAAACTTACTTTAAAGTAGCAATGAGCCTCCCCATTTAGTTTTTCATTAAGAATTTATTTTACAGTGTCACTATTTCTTCCCAAAACATACATGACTTTAACTCGAGTAATAAACTGTACCTGTAACAGGATCCAGATGGCCCTGCTGCAGAATGATGGTGAGCATGAGTGTGAGCTGCGGGGCGTTCTCTGAAAACGTCTCTACGATTCGCAACATGCTCAGATCGTGGCTCAGAAACACAGCTACACCCTCAGGGTCAGGGAGCTTTGTGCGGAAGCTTTCTACAGCCTTTTCCAGGACTCCTGCGTGCCTGAGAGCCAAAATATAATAAATGAGTCACAACCAGGTAAAGCAAATCCAAATGTCAAACACGCCTAGTTGAATTTTCCTGAAAGCATTCTTGTTATGGAAGCAAGTGAGCAAATAAAATCAGTTTGCCCGACACACAGTGAAGGAAAGAAAACAAAGTGTAGCTTATCTTGTGAAACAGAGAAAATTAAAGCATGACTCGGGAATTCGGGAAGTTATAAACGCTGATTTTCACATAATAGTTCAAAAATAAAATAAAATGAAACTGACAGAACCACAGCACTACAGATGATGAAATCTGTACTCTTGTGGTTTAATGCACGAACCTGATGGAGTTCTTGCACTACAGGCACTTTAAACACGCTTTATTAATCTAATACTACCTGAAGTAGATGCCCAGCTGGAAAACATGCAGCAGTTTGAGCAGCCTCTTGGTAGGCCAGCCCTCGACCTTTGTCTTCATCCTGAACTTGTCATAGCTATACCAAAGCCAGCTGTAAGCCTGAGTGAGCAGTGACGAGACCAGGAGCAGAAACAGCAGAACAGCAAGGCACACGTAGGCCTTTTCCTTATAGAAGGACACAGCGGTCCATATATCCAGCCCTATGTCAACCAGGTACAGCGGCAGGCCCACACAAGTGAAGAGGAAGTCCCAGCAGGAGTATTTAAAGTTAGCCTGAGTGCCTGACATGTTCACCCGTCTCTATCCGTGCCTCTAACACAGCTGCATGTGATGCATGAGCTGAAAGACAACTTATATAGACAGATAACGAAAGTAAACTCAAGATTTGAGAGTTTCAAAACCCCTCCTACCAACCAGCCCGTGTCCTGAAACTTATCTTAAAGGCACATTGTGTTAATTCACACACATACACACCTCCTGCTGGCGAATATCCCGTTAACAGTAAACATCGTATTTGGATGACTTTCAGAAAGACTGAAACTGAAATTCCTTTCTGGATATTTTAAGCATCATCCAGAAATCCTGCCCTTTAGTCTTCTCCTTACCTGGCACAGGTTGACAGCTGTGAGGTGGGAGCCCTGCATTAAAGCACCCGCTGGTTTACCTAAAGAGGAAGCCCAGATCTTTTTACTGTAAGCCAATGACTTACAGTAAAAAGATGTGCGGATGCTCGTAATCTGGGTTTGCAGAAAGACACAAAAACAAAAAGAAGTGACTTAACTTAGGTACTACTTTAATAATTGCACGGGACAGATGAGGTAAATGTTTAACAGGAAGTAATCCCCTTAACTTTTCATACCAGCTGACAGCATGCCAAAAAGTGGCTCCAAACACTATCAACTCTTTTACAGAACAGAGTTTCAACATATTGTAAATGATGTAAATGATGATGTGGAGGCAGGTTTACTGAAAAAGCTGAGAGAAGGATGTGCTTTCAGCTCTGCATGTATACTAAAGTAAAAGTATCTTGGCACATGACATATTTGAACAAGCTAAACAGATAGTGGATGGATGAGCGACAATAACACTAGATTTGGCAGCTAAATGCAGAGAAATAAAACATTAGTGTCTGTGACAAATCAGCAGGTTAGCTGAACTCGCTTTACAACACAAAAGAAAAAAGGAGAAACCAAGCTAGTGGATTTAAAACACTTGACCAGCTTTTGAAAAGAAACTATGAACGAACGAATTTACAGTGAAATTTACATTCAAAAAGGTTCCAGCAGCAACTCTAACAAGATAAAATAAAACACACACACGACAACAAAGGTCATTTAAAACCTCAGAAACAAGTTTTGCAGTGTTTCAAAAACAAATTCCAATTTAGAGGGAAAATCCAGATCTCCCACACTTTTAGTAAAAAAGAAAACCCACTAGAAACAATGTACAAATGTAAGATTGCTGTTTTTATTTTACTCCTTAACCAAGTCTCTTTATTAAACCATTTATAGCTTAGTTTTTATAATTACATACTGAATAAATACAATTCTATTCTAAATCTATTTCTAGAAATCCTAAAGTGAACTGAACTATACCACCTATATAGAAAAACGGTCTTTCTGCTCACACTTAACAGTAATATTTAGGCTACTAACAGGCTGGAGTAATAAAACACAATTAAAAAGCACACAAACAGATTTGGTTTAGCTTATCAAACTATTCCTGCTTCAAACTGAATGAAAAATTAAAGCTGTATGCAATTTTTTTTCTAATGTAATTTATACATTAGCCACAACACTAAAACCTTTAGCAGATTTTGTATTTGCTGAGAACACCCATAAACCTACCAACCACCAAACGCTCTCACAGCTCCTGTGTTGGTAACCCAGCAGGTCTGAGAGGCTTTGACAGCATGAGAGGATGTACACATAATTAAGCAAGTGGTGTTAATGTTGTGGCTGACTAGTGTTTGTATAGTTACAGTACAGTATTTGTGGTTGTAAGAAGCCACTGTGGGAGCGTCTTTGTGTAAACACTGAACTGAGCTGAGTGCTCATCAGGTATTTCATTTGACACTTCAGTTAAAAATGTATCCAGAAATCCCCTTTATTACAATATAAACACTGTCTGTATGTTTATGCTTGAATGTAAAAGTACACTTAGTGTAAATACAAGTTTATTATTGCAAGTTTCTTGTTTCCTGTACGATTTTAGAATCTGTACTTTGAAGCCACAGAAGGGAATGGTTCACTTCAGACATGTTTGCACTAGTGGGAATATTCGCATTTGCAGAGGAGATATTGTCCTATGTGCACATTGGACTATGAAGCTACAAGTTGGAGACCAGCTAATGTCTGATCTTAATTTGTCAATCATTTATGTTCTTAAGTGCACTTTGGCTGGGAAAACTTCAGAGTTTTAGTGCACATTGGAAAACTATTTTAGTGCACTAAGCCTGCAGAAAAAAACTGCAGCACAAATCTGAGAAACAGATGCTTCGCTTCATTCAGTAAAAAGCCAGACATCACAGATGAGGGGGCTCGGCACCGTTTGTGCCGTGAGGGTTTCGGAGGACTCTTTGATCTGTGTAAAAATTTGTGGCGTGGCAGGCCATGCGTTTGTTGACAAGTGTAGAGGACGGGGTGCTGTCCTGGATGGAAAAGTCTCTAAAGGACACTTCTGCATCAGGCAGATCACTGGGCAGCCCAGGCTCCCTCCCCAGGGGTCTCCACAGTTTAGGGTGGAAACAGCAGTAGTACAGGGTTTTAAAAAGCAGCCCCAGGAGGTAAGTGAGAGGTAGAGAGATGAGAAGTGGGAGGACGAACGCATCAGTCTGGACCAGGTCTCTGTAGCACCACCAGGTCACCAGCAGGATCACCCCATCTATGGTCATGAAGGAATGGTAGATTAGGCTCCTGCCACGGGTCTGACCCTCAGCCACGTTAAACCAGCTGAAGTACCAGATGAGCCCCACGGTGGACCGGTACAGCCACTCCCCACACACGCTGTCCATGAAGTTTGTCCTCTGTTGCCACGCCCACAGCACAAAGACGAACCACAGCATCAGAAAATGGGCGGCGATGTATCCAGGAAGGACAGAGGAGAACAGGGCGAGTGCCACCACCCGTGGAGCGATTAGCAGCAGATTCCACAGGAAATAGATTAAGGAGGACCCCCATCCCTGCTTGGCTTTGTCTATGAGGAAGGCACGCAGGCAGCGGTGGTAATCCACTACCATCCAGGCTATGGAGGTGGTTGAAGCAGCAATACTTACAACTGAAAAACAGAAGTCAAACCAAGAGGAAGTGAACAAGTGCACAACTGTGATGTTTGCTTGCTGTTCACAGAGAGAGAACTCACACTGAACTGTCCTGGCCTTGTTGGTGCGAAGTATGACGTGGATCATCAGGGTGAGCTGAGGTGCGCTCTCACAGAAGGTCTCGATAAGACGGAGCATGCTCAGGTCATGTGTCAGGTAAACAGCATACTCTGACCCTTCCTCTTTCCTCCACCAGACTCTAAAGCCCTGACGTATGGCGGAGATGTGTCTGAGTGCGGATGGGAGAGCAGCGTGAGAAAATGACACAGCAATGAACAAACCAAACTCATGGAAGTAATCGGGTGTGATTCATTAGGAGAGGTCAAAAACAGTGTGACTGAGCTTTTCATACCTCATTAATTCATTTTTATGCAGTCAGTTGTGCTCAGACTTACTGGATTTACAACTTACCACACCTGACACTGACATTTGTACATGGCTTGAGGTGTTTTAAAGAAAAAATATGGTTTCATTTTTGATTAGAAAATAAAGAAAGTGAAAAAGCTATGCTAAGGAAACTTTCACAACAAACAGGCAGAGGCCTTAGCTGCTGTTGAAACACTTATTGAGAAACAGATTCAGTGATGAATTCGGAGTGATTACATGAAATGACCTTACTAACATTTAACAGATGTGTTTTACATTTACTTAGTTCCTAAAGCTAAAACCCGGGATGTTTTACTGTTTTAAATTATTAGCACCCTGAGTTTATTTATCAGTGCCGAACTTTAAAATGTTCAAAACAGGTACTACTATACCATAACACCTTTATTCATAAAGCACTTTAAAATAAACCGGGGTTCACAAAGTGCTGTACATATAAAATAGCATAAACAGAAAATAAAATCAAACATTAAAAAAAATAGAGAATTAGAGAAAACAGAAAAATAGAGCCAACCTTTCAAAAGGTGCCAGAGGCTTCAGCAAATAAATATGTTTTAGTACGAGTCTTAAACTCAAAAGGAGAAGACGCGCATCCGAACAATCAAGCAGCTGCATTACCCCGATGTTTATCAAATTAAAATTTTATTTCAGTTTTAAATTTATGGACTGTGCACTGTTGCTGTTCAAACATGAAAAACCTAGTGTTAAAGCTAAAATAAAACTGCTTTAACCTTGCCACACTTCCATAAAATCCTGCCATTTAGTCTTCTCCTTACGGTGACAGCTGAGAGTTGGGAACTGCGTTAAAGCACCTGCGGGTTTACCTAAAGAGGAAGCCCAGTTGTAGAACATGCAGCAGGCAAGACAACTTCACTCTGTCCCCGAAGAGCACGCTTTTCGCCCCAGTGTGTTCGCTGAAGCCCGGCAGCTCTCGGTCGTACTTGAACCAGAACCAGCTGAACATCTGGACCACGACGGACGACAGGACCATGAGGCCAACCAGGACTCCGAACCAGAAGAAGTCTCCTCGGCAGTAAAACTCAGTGGCCACCCAAACATCGGAGCCCCAGTCTACGAGAAAAGTGCACACTCCGATCACGGAGAAGACGAAGTCGGTCCAGGAGTACTTTGAAAAAGTTCCGCGCTCCATGGCTGAGCCTCCCTCTCTCAGCAGCTAGCTGTCCACTCGAGCTACCTGTTTCTGAGAAGCTAACCTTCAGCTAACGTCGTGTACCGTTATTTTCCTCCCAAAGTGGCTCCACAGTCTTCTTCACCACGATGAAGAGAAGTTGCAGAGGGTTTGACATTTTGAGCTCCAGTAAATTAATGTTACGCCCCAAGACAAATAAATTACGTTTAAAAACTAAAAAATACTTCCAAAGAGAAGAACGGGTGTGTTTGTGTGATTGTTGGCCACGCCCACCGCGGCTCATGCAGGTTTTAAACGCATCACAACAGTTAGAGCACCGCTTTCCGACATTCGCCATTTTTATTTCAGGCATGAGGCTAGCAGTTTCGGGGAATTTCCAGCAACGGCCTCCTAATTGCAGTACTCTTAGGCCACAAAAAATACTTGTTTCTTATACACTCTCACAAAGTTTCTGTAGTTGTTTAACTACGCTTTTAATGTCTATTTGTTGTTTGTAGTCCGGTGCCATCAAGGAGTGCGTCTTGTCGCAAATCCTTAACTGGCCGATCTCCCACTGTTGTACCTTTGCGTGAATTGCACCCGATAGTTTCAGTGTTTTAAACAAAGCTTGTCATAGCTGTGTATGCTTGTAGGTTTATTTGCGTACTTAGAAATCCGATTACATACACAGTGATCTGAATAGTCACACACAGATTTTAATATGCACACAAAAACTGAGATAGACATTCGCACAAATAGTTCTGGTTCAATAATAACCCCACAATGTCTGTGATAACTAGGAATGGAAACTCCTATCCAACGGTGGCTCTGGTCTAACTGTAAAAAGTTATTTTCATTCATTCTTAAAATAGCCTAATCGCACGATATATTTTCTAAAAACTAAAGTTAAAAAAACTAAGACAACCCCCCTTTTAGTCGTGGCCTATCATATCAAAGGAGGGCCTTATGTATGGCGGCAGTCTCACGCCTGCGCTGTAGCCGCTTGGTTGTTGTCGGGTTTGTCGTTTCGGCAGCACGCTCGGAAGAGGCAGCAGCATGTCGCGGGTGTATATCGGAAGGTTGAGCTACAGAGCCAGAGAGAAGGACGTAGAGAGGTTCTTTAAAGGCTACGGGAAGATACTCGAAGTCGACTTGAAAAACGGGTAACGATGCTGTGAATTAATCGTGTTTAACATGGAAATTGGTGCTTGAAGGGCCGCGTACGGCCTTGTTGAATCCAAAGCGGGTCAGACTTGCTAATGCTAATATAGCTACTCTACACCAAATTTCGCTTTTCCCGTTATTACGCGTGTTTTTTCCCCCTAAAGTACGCCTTCGTTTTACACGAGTGTTTGTTTTATCGATGTAAAGGATGTAAAGGTCAAGCTAAATTTTCCCATCTTTATTGTTGGTTATTGTTTGCGTTAGCGCCAAATCGCTAGCGAGCTAATGTTGGACGTGGCAAAGTCAAAGGCGACTGTGTGCATTACAAGCAAACGGTCTGCTGCAGCTGTAACTTCACCCACCGTTATATTTTTAACGCAATATGAAACTGTAGGGGGAATAGTTTCAACCGTATGCATAGCCTTCCTTTACGTTAAATATCTCTTTGCAGTCGTACTGGCGCTAATCTGAACAAATTAACGTGTAGGGCCGCTAAAATCTAAGGCTCCAACCGGATGGTTTTATTGTCTCTATAATACGATTGAATAGTCTGTAAAGTTCGATTACTTAGTCTGTATGTGTCACAAAGCTGTGGAAAAATACCCACTGATGGCTGAGATATAAAATTTACAAAAATGCACAACAAATAAATTTGTATTTGTTCACATTTGAGGAAGTAAAATGGTGTATTGAGAAATGTATGCGTTACAACAGCCAACAATATTAAATGAGAGGTATAATAAAAAATTGGTTCAAGGAAGTCGAATAGCTTAATAAAATGTAGTAATTCAATAATAATATATAAAAACATAAAAAAAAACATATATAAAAAGGGTGATAACATGAAAATGTTTAGAAAAACACAATAGGAAAAAGGTTAAAATTTATATTACTAAAATAAAATAAATCATCCAAGTTAAAAAACAACAACACACACACAACTTGTCAGTAAAAAAAACTAAACAGGAGCAAAACTTAAGTAAAATTTGCATAAAGTATTATATCATAAAACACAGATAACAGTAAAACATGTAAAATGTTGGATTTAAAAGACAATAATATTTTTTTTCCTGCTCAGTTACCTGCTGCCATCAGTAAACTTGTTACATTGCTGTAAAGTCCTTTCTTCTTTTTATTTAAACATGTTTCATTTCCATCTGCAGGTATGGGTTCGTTGAATTCGATGACCCCCGTGATGCTGATGATGCAGTATATGACCTAAACGGCAAAGAGCTGTGTGGAGAGAGGGTCATTGTGGAGCACACCAGGGGACCACGTCGTGATGGAGGCTATGGTGGTGGTGGTGGTGGAGGAGGAGGTGGTGGAGGAGGTGGAGGAGGAGGAGGGCGGAGTAAGTGTCCAGCGGTGTATTGCCCGTATTTCACGTGAATAATAATTTATAAGAAATCTCATTTATTTCAGGGAATTCTTAAATTTCATGGGGGGCAGAACTGGTCCTTGGTGGCTAAAGTGCATTCAGTTTATATCATAATTTCATGGTGGAAACTGAGAGAGGTGGTTTTTCTGTAGCTGGTTCTTAGAATTGGGTGGAGTGAGGTGAAGCTGGTTTGTTCTCTATTAATTCAATTTTCGTTTCTGGGTCACACCTTCACAGTAGTTTCATCACAGTTCACCTTTGTTGCAATCTCAATGAGCATTCCTGGTTTCTAGTGGTGTTTTTGAATTGGGGAAATCTTACTCATGTACTACTTAACAGTTGCTTCTGCGATGCAGTCCCTGACAGATGGCGGCATCTTTCTTTCTGTGATGGAAAGCTGGAAACAGGCAAGGTGGAACCTAAGAAAGAAAATGGCGCTGCTCTGCTGTCTAAAGTGAACATTTAACAGTTTAACCACAATTTGGCATGTTATCACGGACTGATTAAGCTTTTCAAATCAGGATTTGACCAATATCTGGTCCTTGTGTCTGGTAGGTGTATCCCCGATACCTCTAGATCGTTCTTTGAGAACCAAAGGAGAATTATTCCTGCTAAGCCGCTGACCTCATTTTCTTTGTTTAGGTCGTTGAGACACTCCCACCCGTCCACATTTCACTATTGTTCTGGCTTGAGTGAGCCTTCTAGGTTTCTAGTGGTCTCTTAGCCTGCGAGTACATCTGAGTTTCTGGATAGAGCAGTAATTTGGTTTTGAATTGCTTTGCTATACATCACTTCACAGCTTCTACTCAGAAAAGAACAGCAGGCGTGGGAGGAGGTGTCGTAACGTGATTAAATCTGTGTGCACCAGAGCCACCAATGACTTCTTCAAATATCTTGGGTTTCCATGTGATGGATTTGAAACTAACAATACATGTGAATGTGTGATGATGCAGGAATTGGCTTACTAATTAAAACAGTATAAATGTATTGATTGAGCATTGTAGAGTAACTATTTGACTGTCAAATATTTTGTAATCTATTGATGTCTTATTCCGTTTTTATTTCATTTAAAGTGATTGTCAATTTAAAGGTAAAGATTTAACAAAGAACCTCAATGTTTTAATTGAAAGAGTCCTTTGCTGACTGCCTGCCCCTATTGCTGGCCATGGTGTCCCCCCTTTCCAAGAGTGTGGTTTGACCATTCTGGGCCCCTGGGCAGACCAAAAAAGGGAGCCATTGTGAATGAAGACCGCTTTTCCCATTAGGCCCAGGCCGGGTGGTGAGGATGCCATGGGGTTAGGAACAGATGTGGGTTCAGCTCTTATAGGTGCCTGAAAAAAAACAACATGTTTTGTATCAGTGAAATGTTTTTAGATAGGATAGATTAGACACTTGATTTAGTTCAACGTAAGTACTTCCTCCTTCAGTTATTAATTTGATTTTTATTGCTTTTTTCTTTTCTTTTTTCTTATTAAAATAGGCCTGTTGAGCATCAACCAAAATTTAATATCCATAGGGTTTTTTTTTTCTTGTTGGCTTAAAAATTTAAAGAAAGACTAATAGAAAGAAATAATTAGGGTCTTTTTAGGAATTAATAGCTTTTTCTCTTTTTTTCAGCCTTTTTGCTTTTTCCCTATTTTGTTTCCTTTCCCAAGAGATTATTGATATATTTTAATAGTGTGTAGCTGGAAGTTTAGTATGACTGCACCATCCCGGTTGCTTTCCAGTCCTCATTGTTCCTTCTGTTTCCTTGTTACCCTGAAAGGTGGATATGGACGCTGGGGAGGAAGAGACAGATATGGTCCACCTATACGGACAGATTATCGGCTTATTGTTGAGAATCTTTCCAGCCGCTGTAGCTGGCAAGACTTAAAGGTATGTTTTTGCTTAATTCACCCTCCTCTCTCATATTAAATACTTATTGTGAAGGAAGTAAGGCTTACAGTCCTGATTTAAAAAAAAAAAAAAAAAAAAAAATTGAAGTGAACCATTATTTCAGCGTTTTAACATTTCCCATAGTGAGATTTTCCCCATCTTTTTCTTTTTTAAATTTCCCTTATTTTACCCAACTTTAAGAACGTTGCATTAGATTTTGATTTTTGTTTTTATTGTGGCCACATGATTATATAAACATTCATAAAGCACAACACACCCATTCTGATCAGGTTGTCTATAAGGGAAGATGTAATATGAATCCATGAAGCTCTCATGGATTTTATGTAAAATATTTACATGCAGTTTGGTCAGAGCCTCCAGTGGACACATTCTCATGATCTCATCTGTTTCCTCTCCTTGGTAGGACTACATGAGGCAGGCGGGTGAAGTGACTTACGCTGACACCCACAAGGGCCGGAAGAATGAGGGGGTGATCGAGTTCAGGCTCTACTCTGATATGAAGAGGGCCCTGGAGAAGCTCGACGGCACAGAGGTGAACGGCAGAAAGATCCGGCTCATTGAGGACCGTCCTGGTGCCAGGCGCCGCCGCTCGTATTCTCGTAGCCGCAGCCGTTCCAGGTAAAAAAGGCACTGTTGTTTGGTATTAAATTAGGAATTGCATGCTGCTGCAGTTGGATCCAAGATCGATAAATGGTATAATATTTTGTCAGGTCTCGCTCCAGGAGCCGCAGGTCTCGTAAGAGCCGCAGCCGCAGTGAGAGCAGCAGTCGCAGCCGCTCCCGCTCCAGGTGAGAAAAACTTTATTTTGCTGTTTTGTCCAGAAACTGATAGATGTTCGATCGATTTGTCCTCTCACTAGCTGCCTTG